TAAAATCGAAGAGGTATCAATCAGTACTAGACACACCAAGAGAACTTTTATTGCAGCAAAAAGTCGAAGTCTTCAAGTATTATACGCTCCCCTGCCCTGCCCTGCCCCCCCCCTTCCAACAACATCTTTTTGTTGTAAACAGTAAACAGCTCTTTCGATAATTACAAGAATTTGAAAAAAAAACACCAATATTCCAATTCTGATTTCTTCAACTTGAAATTTCATCTACATAACCCATCAGAGGCGTTCAATTTCCTAAAATCGCAAGTAAATGAAATGTTTAACAAAGGATACTCTCCTCCCCTCGATGTTTTATGCTTTTGGTAAAATTAAGCAGACTATTGCCCGACCCCCTGAAAGATAAAAATTACTTCGTTGGCCATCTTGTGCAGACAACGTGAATTGAGGTCACAAAATTAAGAGTTGGGAGTAATAGTAAGGACGCAGCGGTTAACAATAGACAACAAAGTTCATGAATTAAGCAGAAGACCAAGAGTTGAAAGCAGACTAAATTTTGTTGTAGAGCAGTGGGTTAGGCCATGAGAGCAGAGGGGGGGGGGGGGGGGAGAGGAATGAGGAATAGGGACAAAAGAGGAAAAATGTGGGGGAAGAAGAAGAACCACATTAGTAGATTAATGGCATGCGTATGTGCAAATGGAAGGGGCTTTATGCAGCTTCATTGAAAGTGATTAGCATGGTGAAGGATATCAATCACTACAGGATCAATAAAGTAGCTAGTTCACTAACACCGATCATATCCAGGGAGCAAGGATTCATTCAGTAATCAAGGTCACGAAACAATAAACTTAAATGATGGACTAGGAAACACTTATTAAACAAATATTGAGTAAAACGACTCTTTTTAACAACCACCAACATCTCCACTCACCCTTTAATCATTTTTAAAGCAACTGCCAACAGCTTTGGGCGAGTTATAACATAGGGAATATCCCCAGGTTTAGGAAGATAGACACTAAAGACCACTTCAATCCCAAATCAGTCGATAATAATAATGCAGGCAAATAGCATTCCATAGTCAAATCACTAGAGTGCTAGTCTAAGCAACATCTACAGCTGCCAATAGAATGCGAAAGCACTTTCAGTAGGATTTGTCAATTTTAGTTAGCGCGATCTAATAGTCTCCTGAGTACGGCGCGTAAGAGGTCAAAAGTCTTTCAATTAGTGTTGCAAAGAGAGTCGGTGCGTGCCTAACCACCAACATATAATCGATAACCAGAAAACTCGGATATCTAAATTCACTGGAAGGTGAAAAAAACAAGTTACACTTTCAAGGCACATTAAACGCGCGCGTGCGAGAAAAAGGGGGGGGGGAGAGAGAGACATGATGGCTGACTTTAAGGTCACCCCTACTAACGCGCTTTCTCCCCCCCCCCCCCT